CACAGACAACCAGAAAGTGGCGTTTCATCTTGCCACTGTGTTGGGGACTGTGTATGTCAGTATCACACAGTGGTTATTCATCAGTATGAGAGACAAGCATCAAAAGAACAAGCACATAGTTGGCCAATACTTTTCATCAGGCCATCAGGTCAGTCTGAGAGTATCTGGACTGCATACCAGAAGGACAAAGTGTCCTCTGACAAACACAAAAGGGACAAAAACTAAAGAGCCAGTTACATGAATTACAGTCAGAAAAACTGTCTCCGTCCCATTCAACATGTGCAACAGAAAAAAAATGTTTAATGAAATTGTATGTGTTTAAATGCACATATATGAATGAGAGTGTTTTACCTTTCACATTTTTAATGAAATTTTATATGTGTTTAAATGCATGTATATGAATGAGAGTGTTTTACCTTTCACTGGTGAAATCACCCACTTACTTTATGACTTACACCGTCCCATACATAGTCAGACCTCTGGTCCACTCTGGTTTATAATTAGATGTAGAGTAAACATAGGATACTGCTACAAATAGCTAAGAAAATACTGGAGGAAGTCCATAAGTGGTTTAAACAGGATTTTACAACAACTTTAAACCATAGAAAGACTGTTGAAAATAACGATTGCATATGTTTACCATTGTAAATGGTTTCTTACGTTTAATATGAAAAAAAAATTAACAGGCAAGAAAATTGTAATTTTACTAATCATATCTGTCTGTACTCATCTGCAATTGCGGATAAAAAAAAACCCTTTCAAGTAAGTAAGATATATTTCATTTTTGGAAAATTTGTTTATTCCTTTAAATGTACGTATGTAGCTTAGCATACATATAGCTACTGTTAACAACATAAATGGAAGGTTAGGACTGATAATTAAAAATATATGATTATTTCTACGTTGGGTTTTTATACTTATATTGGAAATCTTTTTTCTTTTTTTGTTTTGTTTGCTCGAGAGGGAAACTGAAACAGTTTTTTCTTATCAAACTTCACTAGTTTAGCAAATATGTTGTTTTAAGATGTGGTGCTAATGGTTCTGAACATCGTATTGTTCCCGCTCCTGTAACGGAAAGAAAATTATTGTTTTTTTTTTAATTAAGCTATTTTTATTATTTCAGTGAAGCCGTTGCTCTCTTACCATTACATAACAACAAACTTCTTTCTAGTTCAAACTTTAACCCCGGCACAATGACAACAGACGACATGGGCCACAGCAGGCCGCCGTTGACAGCAAGGGATTAGCACGTCGTTTTAAAGCTAACATTAATTAAACAACGGCGACATATTGTCGTGGTCTCAACACGTGCTTACAAGTTGAGCAGACGAGTAAAATGTTAAAAAAAAGTGAAACTTTAACTTTAAATTCCTACCACCAGCCGATGATTCCGAGCTTTTGTTAGAAATATCGCACAGGTGGCTTTTGATAGCGTGCCCCGGGAGCGAGCAGCAGCGAAGCGGTCGCTGATGAGCCGTTAGTCACCTGTGGTTGGTTTTCGAATTCACAGTGAAAAAAAAAAAAAGAAGCTTTTGTGGATCGACAAAAAGTCTAATTCTTTCCTCCTCACTTGATAAAGCACGCACTTTACCCTAATATCATTTAAAACCATGACCGTAGACAATTAAAATAAATTAAATATTTTTTATTCCAATCATTTTTGTGTAATCGTGAAATGCTAACTAGCTCCGGTATCATATTTTTTGCCGTTCGTCATTAGCAAATATTTGTGCAATAATATAATTTAATCCATTACATTATTTGGATGACCATTAGTTCAGCACATTAAAACTTGCTAACCGAACATTTACTGTATATATGAGTGTTTTTTTTAAATATATTAAATTGGGTTACTTCCGGTCATCCCAAAACACCACGGAACGCAGAATTAAATGTCGATATTTTATTAAGTCTTTTGGAAGACAGTGTACATTACTACAGCTGTTGGTGAAATTACTGGTTTGCAAAAATAAATGTTGCACACAATTTGCCTCCATTGTGGTTTTGAATAATTCCATATTTGCCTCCATCAGCCTGGCATTTTACACAAGGAGAAGAAACTGCAGGGACAACCAACCAATACCATCTACGGTTTATTATTTCAAATCTGAATGTACAATAATTAAATAATTACATGATTATAAACTGGGAAACAAATTATGTACAATGTAAAAGTGCACTGTGTTAACAGAAATGGCGTATGGGAAGGCTAGCCGAGGTAACTGAGCTGTCAAGAAACAGTTCAAATCAAATCAACGAGGATGTAAATACTATAAGTCGAATGGATGATTTTATAATCCTGCTTAATTTTCTACTTACATTTAGTAGAAACAGCTGTGCTTTCACGGTAAAAAGTAAAATAGGAAATACACACACTGCATTCATCGTTTTCACAAAAAAGGTGTTGATGCCACGTTACTAGGATCCTCGGCGGACGACAGAATCAGATGCTACTTTAATTTGCAGGTCCATTAATCATTGCTGATCACTCTGACATCAGTCTGAACGCATTAACGCATTCAAATACACACTTACGAGAAAAGTAACACGAACTGATGTTTGACACAACTCCGCGTACGAGCGACGGACTCCAAAAATGAAAGAGTTTGACATTGATTTTTGGCCACAGAGCTGCTGTTCATTAGTGTGAATATGTGGTTTGACTTCCTCTCCAACAGGCAAGTTAATGTGCACACTGACAAGCAGAGGACGAGAGAGAGACAAAGAGAGAGAGAGAGAGAGCAACAGCAGCACATGTCTTCTGGTGCGGGGGTGTCGATGCTGCAGGGGTTAAAGCAAAGAACGCTGTGTTTCCTTATGTGTCCATTGGCAGACAGAGTTGAACAGACCCTCGTCCCGTTCACCCCCAGTTCCCTCATTTTTAGTTCTCGTTGCTTCTCTCAGTGAACACAACTTGGCCAGCTGAGGCCGCCACAGGCAGCAGACACGATGGCGTAAATGACAACCTAGAAGAGTAAAGAGCAGGGGAGGAAATTAACTTTGTTTAAAAAGGTAACAAATCTGTTAACACATCTTGTCAGCACGTCTTTTAATTATGGCAATTATTAGCCTCCTGTACTCACCAGGCACACCAGCACAATTACCAAGGTCAGCTTGAGGTTCTTCATACACATGGCCCGTGCGAGATTACGACTCGTGGTCTTAAATGTCACCGACTGAAAGGTGACAGAGAGGAAATGTCATTGGTAGTAAACAGAGAGTATCTAACATGGCCAGAACGCTGCTGTACAGAAAACTCACAGAATCCACCAGGTTTTCTGTCTTATCAATCAGCAGCTCCAGCTTCTCCCCCCTCTGAGCCACCAAATCTGTAAAAAAAAACAAAAAAACACGGCAACTCATGTTAAGATAGTCCTTACAAAATACAACTTAATAATCAGAGATGGCAACCTTACAAATAACACAAAGTGTCATGCTTTTTATTAGATAACTTGGCAGCAAAAGCTAAAAACAAATGCTAAAAAATTGAAATCAATAGATAATACACAAATGATATAATAATTGACTCACCTATGTTGCGGACCATGATGCCTTTGAGGTCATCCACTTGAATCTGACTTTCTGAAAGACGGTCTGATCCTCTGGGGTCTGAGTGGTGTTTCTAAAAAGAGAGATAAAGTCCGACAAAGCTAAGAAAAAAAATGGAACACATGTAAACACTTGAAGGTTGCCGCGGCCCCATTTGCCTCCACTCACCATCTGAGCTGCCAGCGCTGAGGAGAACTCACTGTTCATGGCGTAAGGCAGAGCGGTTTGTGCTCTGGAACCATAGGTCGTCTGGAAACGCTTCTTGACTTCACCCAGGAAGCTGAAGGCTCGGGACCTCTCAAAGTCCTTAAACAAAGAAAAGTTAAACTTGTACAAAACATTATTTAAAAAAAAGTCAAACAAACTTTTGAAACTGGTTAATCACAGGGTAGCTTCTTGATTGTAATTAATCACCATTATCCTTGATAAATCATAAAGAAAACATAGAAAAAAACCCACTTTTTCTCTATATTTCTAAAACAGACAGTCCAAAAACAGATTTTTCAAAAACAATATCCCATGATACTCACATCATCAGTGATACAGAGGTATATGATCCTGTCGTGGCAGATATAATGGAAGAGATAGCTGTGAAAGCAAAAGAGAAAATGAACTGCCATCAACTGTGTAAAACTGAAAATGTTTTATTACTGGACACTGTTATTGTCTTATCAAAGATTGACTGAAGTTATTGTTGTAAGTTATTTTGGTAATCTTCTCTTCCTTCTTTACAGAAACAACATGTGAATGAGGAAACGTGGATCTTGTGAAAGTCTGACCCCAAGTCTTAAGACGTCATGTCACAATAAGGTATCTCTGTATCTGAGAAGAGAAATCTATTTTGTGATGACAAGCTTGTGACTGGTGTTGAGTAATAATAATAAAAAACCCTCCAAGTTATGGAAACAGAGCTACTTTTATTCTTAACCTTTTCCCTCAAACACCACAGTAACTACATTATTATGAAGACAACACAGCAAACCTCTACGTAGTAAAAAAACACGAGGCAGCATGAAGAATACTACAAAATAAAAAATCAGAAGCACTGAAGGTAGAAGTCTTAGTTCTGTGTTGATATGAAACTCGTCAGGGTGGCACTGACTTCTTCTCAAACAAAGTTCTCAAACGTTGTTAATGTGAGTCCTACCTGCCGTGGCTGTAAGTTAGTTTGTTGTTCTCAGACGGTATTTTGGCCAAGATCTGTTCGGTCACTTCCAGAAAATTCCCGCTGCACCATGCATGCTTGGCCAGGATGGTAGTTCCTCGAGCCACCACAGCAAACAGGATTGCCATGGCTGTAGAGGGGCGTTCAGCTCTAATACCCACTAACAAAAAAAAAACAGCATGAAGAAAACAGATGTTTTTTGTTGCAAATGTGTCTGATTTTTAAAAATAAAATATGGTGAGTCCTAAGTCCCAACCCAACCCATTTTTTTTTACACAAATTAAGTATTTTATAAAGTTCTTAGAACTCTTTGACTTAACATCCCAATAAAGAAGACACCCAACTACGATGGACCCATGTGCTACGACGGGCACGCCTACCATATTTTGAGAACAACAGATGTAGTATTTCAGAAATGCATTATTACCCAACCACTATTGACATTATATTGTGGAGGTTGATTTTTTTAAAAAAACAACAACACAATTTTACAACACAGTAACTATAGCATGTTTATACAAGGCCAGGTAGACCGGCCATTAAAAAAACAAACCAAAAAAAACAAAAAAACAACGGCGTACTGAGAGAACGTTTCCTGTCCTGAATTTACAGGCGTAATCAGAGAACGTTTCCTGTCCTGAATTTACAAATTCAGTACAAAGCTTTTGAAGGGAGGTTAAACGGATCGGCACAACTCCAAATCGGGGGGGGGTTAAACGGATCGGCACAACTCCAAATGATGACAAAGAAGGTGTTTACTTTTAAGGCTGCATATAATAGTATTGAAATAACAGGTTAACGGAAACACACTGATCTGCTGCACATTCTGCTGTGTTGGCGTTGCGTAGACCATTGTTTTGAGACGATGTTGCTAGATTTAGAAGATTTTATGTGTAGGGCGGCTGGTGATCACAGACCTTCAGTTCACGCCGTGGCAAAGAGAAAGTCGATTTTACAGTAAGAGCTACTGATGCAGAAAGAAAGACGTGGAGGATGAGAAACTGCGAATGTAAACACGTTTAAATCCGTTTTGTATTTTTAAGTGCTTCGAACCCACTGCGTCAATCCTCTTCACGGGATGAAGCGGTCATGGAATTTGAAAAAAAGAAGAAAAGCAATTGCTAATAAACGGTGTTAGAGCAACACCGACTTCACGAGCCAATTCAAAATACGCACAGGCGTCATTTCGGTATGGCTGTTTATCGACACAGGAAATATTCACCAACTCCAGAGTAGCCGCACGGGAGATTAAAATATGTACATAAAATAAAATACCTCGATGTATGTCTTTCATAGGCGCTCATTTGTCGTATTTCCCAACATCTACAGACGTTGTAGCATTCAGCAGGCTAGATAATCTTTTCCGACTGACTTCTGTTTAATGCAAATAAGACGAGTGTCAGACCGGAAGCAGTTCACTGTCCTGTTGGGTAATGTATTTGTCATAACACCCAGTAACCTGTTATTAGCTCAAATGCCTGGCCTATCGAACTACAATCCTCAACTTCCGGATACGTAAAGTTGTCGTCACATGTTATTATTACGTGACTTGGTGGCGTCTTCATAGGCGCATGTGGTATGTTTAGCCCTCGTTAATGTCTAATAGGTAAACATTAGCAAACTTCAGTCAAGAATTAAACATAACAAAAACTACAAACTAAACCTAAAAGATGACCTATAATAAGTAAACTGCAACTGGTAAAGTTTTTTATTTTTTAACCCCGTGTCCCTTTAGGGTTTCCGTATTTATCAAAATTCCCTTAAACTTGTTTTATAGAACAAACAAAACTGCAAGCAATAGTTTTGAAATAGGATTCATCTGATCGACCTTTTGCAAATTCAGGGAGAGTGGGGGAAAGGCTTTTGTAAAATCACTCAATCTTAATTTTTGGAAATACGCAAAAGAAAGGCTTTTGTAAATTTTCAATCTTAATTTTTGGAAATACGCAAATGGAATACAACAGCGTTGTCAAGTTCTTATTTGAACGTTCTTCATCGTGCCTGTCAGACACTGTTGAGGGCACAACTCCACGACGTGTTTTTACAGTGTGAGAGGCGATGTAAGCATGGCCGCAGAAAGCGAAAAGAAACAAGTGCTTGAAATGGTAAGGAGTTCACGATCCGAGTGTTTTTATTCACTATCGGAAGCTTTATTAAAAGTATTAGGATGTCTGTATAGAATTGACCGATCCACAGTGATAGAAAGACATCGTTTACTGTTGTCACGTGTGGCGCTTCTGCCGCTCGGGAAAACAGCAACATCTCATTATTGTACATTCATCGTGAACGGGGAATATTCTGTGCTGCTCACGAACGGCCAGTTGTGTTGTGTTGAAATATTTCACGCTAAAAATGAAAATTTGCTTTTATTTGCTTCGCCCTCAGTCCAGTCCTAATCAATTCCACCACGCCGGGGCGCTATTGATATACAGTAGATACGTATAACGCTATAACTACTCCAGATAGTTAGTTATTGAATGCTCTATAGTCGGTATCCTCGCAAGATTATTTATTTCAAGAATTAAAAGGACTTTTAAAAAATATATTTCATTCTTTCATTTTAATCTATTCCCAATTTTTTGGCCTGATTGAATTTACACGCGTCTGATAATGTAAATATTGACCAAAGAAGAAAAAAAAATTAATCATGATCTGTTGACTGTTGTTTTCCAGATCCAGGCTGATGGAGCGGATGAAGGCTGTGTGACGTTTGTGCTGCATGATGAGGATCACACTCTGGGCAACTCCCTCAGATACATGATCATGAAGAAGTCAGTGTGTCTCTGTGTATCTCCTACTTTTTTTTTTATTTGCCAAATAAATCATAAATAGCTGCATGTAATTACTGTTTACTAAAGCACTGAGCTCATGAGTTTGTGACCTAACCCCTGTTTTCCATGACAGTGTGGAGGTGGACTTCTGTGGCTACACCATCACCCACCCATCTGAGAGCAAGATTAACTTTCGTATTCAGACCCGAGGTGAGCGACGCCCTGGCTGCTGCATCCATGCCCTTACATGAGCATCTGTGTGCAGAGCCAGCGGAGAATCACTGTTTCCAGACGCTCTTACGACGACGTTAATCAAAGTCTGGTGCCTCCGCTCTACTTCAACTGCACACAAACAGAACATTTGGAGATGTTCAGGAACACACATGCACACACAGCCTGTGGTCGTCGACCTCTGTGGACCAGAGGTCGACGACCACTTGTCTGGTCGGGAGAGAAATGCAATTAGTGCCAATAAATAACAGCCACCACGTCACATGAAAGAGAGAGAAAACTAGACAAGTTGAAACTAGACGTACTGCGTCTGGAGAGTAATTCTCTCGGGGGGTGGACACAATAATTTTCACATAAATAAAAATAAAAATTACTGCACATTTTCCATGTTTTATTTTGGAATAATTATGGTAGAACGTGACGATAAGAACAGGTTCTCTGTTTCAGGGGGGGTCGCAGCCACAGAGCCTCTGAGGAGGGGACTGAATGAACTGACAGACGTTTGCCAACACGTTCTCAACACCTTTCAGGTGAGACGGAATTATTTTCCAACTGTAAATCACAACTCCAGCACGTCAGGTGTCGTTGCTGCAGTGATGTCAAAGAAAGTAGATTCAGACTCCATGATTTTCTTAACCATTAAATTGCTCTCTGTTCATGGGCCTGAGCTCTGACCGTACATTTATTTTTTTTCCATTTTCTCATTAACCACCAAAGGAAAATCCTGTCTGTTTTTATCACCCGCCGTTAATCGTCCATTAAAAATAAACATGCAGTACAAATATGTTTCTGCTGAGAAATTTGCGTCACACTCTGCGTGTCGTTTCACCTCCAGACTTTTTTCATGTTGTTCCAGGTCAGAGTTAATGAGTTCAAGGAACAGCAGGAGCAGCAGGAACAGCCCATGGATTAATTAGAATGTGGAGCGACTTGATAAAAAAGTTCCTCTAACCTGGACTGGGTCAGGTTCTGGTGAATCTTTGTACAGTTTTCTTTTGTATTTTGTTGGACTGTTGATTCACGTTGTGATCTTTTTGTGTTCTGTACATTATTTTCTAAGATGTTATATTTAGGGAAACAATTTTCAAATAAAAAAAACAAAGTTGAAAAACTGTATTTGATTTTTGTTATAAAAGTACATATAGATTTTTGTCTCATTGTAGAAAAGACACATTTATTAAGTGACTTATGAGAAAAGGATTAAGAATCAAACATGTGGTTCCTCTGAGAATTGAACCCATGCCTGCCTCGGAAGCAGACGTTAGATTAATCACCGATCGATTAATCTTCAAATTAAAAATATTAAACAAAGATGCCGTAAATAAAGTACCTGACTGAGACCCTTAATCAAGTTCAGCTGTCGTCGACTCGGGAGTGGCTTCTGAAAAATGCAGGAAAAGAGAAATTAATTAATTAAATTATGAATGACAAGGAATAAACTAATTCAAGAACGAATTAGTTAATTTAAGAATTAATTAATGTATAGAAGAGTGAACCCAGTCCAAATGTGCCATGTCACCAGTCACAACCTGTAAAACCTGGACATAAAAAAATGCAGATTTTTTATTAAATAAAAAGCGAAACAAATATTACTGACATTATATTTATGTTTAAATATTCCATACGTTAATATTTCACCTGTAGGATATTCAATTAAATATTCCATATGTTAATATTTCACCTGTAGGATATTCAAACCAAACGTTCTGCCCGTTGAAATCACAGCTGGCAGACAGGTGGAGTAAAGTAGTGAAGTACAGTAGTACTGAGGAATGTGACGCACATCAGTTCAGTGCCAAGAAGAGAGTTGGTCCAAATGAGAGGAGACAAGTGAAAATAACGACGGCCTTAAACACATCCTTCTGTCTGTTGGATGTTCACGCAGGTCTGAAGAACAGACTGGAGCTCAGCTGAAGATGACCGCAGCTGACGTGTCGTCTTTGTTCCGCTGACAGAACTGTTTAATTTTCACAGTCGGTCACCTGTGGGCTGAAGGCTGGGGTCAGCGGGAAATCTGTGAATGTTGATATTAATACAGTTCTATAGATCTATTTATTTAACTAATTGTGATTAATTACAATAACAATTCTAATAAATCACTATTAATGTTTGTCCCTACATTTGAAGTCATTTTAAATTCCCGTGCCCCCGTGTCGTGCAGCTCCGACTCCAGTGACGTCCAAGTTTTATTGGAACCATGGAACTAATGACCGTTAGAGTGGAGTCGCATGCATCCGATCTTTATCGTTAACATTCACTGGTTCCTCCCTTTGATGTTCTGTGCAGCACTTATTCTATTAAAGGGAACGACGTGAGAGCAGCGGTGAAAGGAGGACCAGGAGCAGACACAGAGACAGGAGCAGCGGAGCACAGGCTTTTATTACAGGTTCACAATGTGCAAACGTCCTGGTCATGTGACTGATCATCTCCCGCAGCAGCGGCTGACCTGATTCCTTCAACTCGGTGATGGAAAATTATCCAATTTCTCTTAATTGGGCTGAAAACTATTATTTATTTATTTTATTGCATATAATTTTTCTTTGCTCGTCAAAGCATAAAATACAGAACAAATAAATACTCTTCTACTAGGTGGCAGCAGATTCACCTCAGTATTAAATGAATAAATGGTGTGAAACACCTGCCTTTAACATTTGGTATTTACAAGTAAACAAATCCAGAAGTAAAAAAAACAAAACAAAACCATAATTTCTAAATGTGTAGTAAATAAACTTCGGACTCGTGGCGTAGTTAACGGAAAAACTCAACATCATAAAAAGCAAAGGTCGACCGTGAGGATAAACACCGTCGGAGATAATAAAAGAACAGCTCATGTCGGAGAGCTGTTCTGTGTCATTTTCTTAGAAAAATAAAAGCTATAATAAAGCTCTGCTGATGAGCAGTCAAAGACCACGTACTACTGCACCAGGTCTCTGGATGTCAGCGTCCTCTGTGTCCCAGCGTGGGAGACATCTGGTGTTTGACAGCGTTCAAGGACAACATCTGTCCTCCACACCGCTCGCAACACCAAGTGCTTCCAGATGACTTCGGACGCTCCGCGTTCCCCTTGAGACCGGACAGCGAGGTGCACGTTACCTCGGGTATGACGTCACTCTGAGCAGCGACAGCCTGTTTTTGAATATTTGGTTTTGGTCCCGGTGTCGGAGGTTTGTCGTTTGTCACATCCCCGTGAGGTAATGACGCTTGGACAGTTAGTACTCGTCAATACAGGAAGTCAGTCTAGATACTCTGAATATACCGCCGACCGCAGCTAACTACGGGCTGTACATGTTTACATGAGGCTTGAATGAACATTCTCTACTGTAAGTGTAGCTCAGCTGTTACATCACACAGGTCGATTCCCACGATCACAGATGGAAAAGACACGATAATCAACATAAGGTCCCGGTTGAAATATAGCAAAGTGTGAACATGTGCAGCCCTGGGAGATTTCTACAGCTTTGGTTAGTGTGTGTGTGTGTGTGTGTTCAGCTTTGGTTAGTGTTAGTGTAAGTGTGTGTGTGTGAGTCATTCAGTCAGTCTGTTGTAGGTCCTGTAGGTGTGACCTCTGACCCTTCTGTCACGCCTCCTTTTCCCTCTTATCAGCAGCAATGATGCGTTTTCATTGGTTTGGCAGCAGAGGTGCGACGGCCACAGTGTTGGTATGTGTGTGTCTGTATGTGCGTGTGTGCGTGTGTGTTTGTTTACGAGGAGCTGGTGTATTTCTGACTGGAGCGGGTGCTGGAACTGTCCAGGCCGTTACCGTGACAGGAGCCCTTCCAGTGGTCTCCTGAGCCTCGTTCGTCCAGAGGAGAGCGTCTGTAGCACCAGCAGCACAGACAGGACTGTGGAAACACACAGACTTAGATGAAGTGCACGTGACGGTCGTTTCAGTCCATGGACTTCACGTGTGTGAAAAAGGGGACGAACTGTAGCCAATCACAGCTGTCGGTGAAACACAATGGATAGATGGGAATTTGCTCGACTGCCGCAAATAAGCTGCGTAGAAATTGATGTTTATGTTGAAGTGACGATGTTTACGGACGGTGAAAACTCTGCGACTCTATCACCACGTTCCACTAGATGGCAGTAAATGTGCTAAATTATCTTTGAAAGTTCTTATACATTCATGGCTACGGTTATAAAAACCTAATGAAAGTCAACTTCAATTTCTCACTGTATTTTGTGGCAATTACTTTGTGTCCTCTACAGGGTGCCTGTCCCCTACTTTGGGAACCACAGCTGTAAGACGAGACCATTAAGTACCCAGTCATTATGTGGCCAACATTTTCTGCACTTTTGATGGACATGTATGTGGCGATGCTATTCCGACGCCTGAGATGTGTCTCGTTTCTCGGACAATCGGCGTCTTTGTATCGACGTATCGTTGAAATTGTAACATTTTAGTGGAATAATAAACAGGATTTTTTTCCCGAGGCTACGTTAGAGCTAACCCAGTTAGCTTCAGGTGCTGTAGCTACACGTACGTCCTGTGAAGCGTTTATTTTACAGCAACTCATTTTCTCACCTTGAAGCAGTTTTTGAACTTCTGGCTGACGAAATAGAGGGCGATAGGGTTAATGCAGGAGTTCAGGGAGGCCATGTTGATGCCGATGTAATCCATCACTAACAGGAAGCTGGCGGTAAACGGGACAAAGTTTAACAGAGATTACTGTAAAGATCACAGGAAGTCACTGAGTGGAGAACAATACGTTCTCATGACCGTTGCAGTAAATCCTGCCCCCTCCCTCGTCCCCCCCGACCTCCCAAGTATCTAAGTACTTACCTGAGCAGCTCACAGCGATTCGGGTCAGTGGGGTCATAGACTGTCTTCTTCAGAATGCGGCTGAGGTGCAGGGGCAGCCAGCAGAGGGCAAAGATCAACACCAAGCAGAAAACAGTCTTGGCCACTTCCCTGCGCTAAAAACAAAACCAAAAAAAAAAACCAAGAAGAACAAAAAGTCGTTGAGACCTCAAGTCTAAAAAGTCATGGTTGTTGAGACCTCAAGTCTAAAAAGTCATGTGATCACACGACTTCAGAGGAGCGCACCTGAACTGTTTTACCTGTTTCATGTGGTCGTTGAGTGCAACGCGCATGACTTTTTTGCGACTGAGCATCTCACAGGACATGAGTGTGTAGAAGACGGCCGTACAGGCCAGAGGGAAGCAGAAGTAGAAACCAAACAGCCACCAGTCCTTGGCCTCCTGGTACAACTGGAACAACAACAGGTCAACAGGTGAGTTCCCAGGGTGCATTTAGACAAGTGGTGTTTCCATCAGCGATTTCCGGAGGATGACCTTTGACACCAGATCACAATCTGCTTCTCAGTCTGCTCCAAAAAACAAAACCGACTTTTTGACCTTTTCTATATAAACGTATGGAAAACAAACATTAGGATGTATTTTTCCATTATAAAGTATTGGTCTATA